TTAATCTCAATACTCGCGCTAAAACAACACTGTAACGAACGAACGTTAACTTCAACAATACCCTGTGACTGCAGTTCAATTACTCACCACCTACACACACATTGTTGTCCCCCCCGTCACGTTGTCACCCTCTTTTATATACCAGGCTACCCTATATCTAGTAAATGCTAGAGCATTCGCCAAAGTACAGGATAGTTCTAGAAAGTAGAGGGCGTGAGAATAATCACGTGATCTCGATGACGCAACACTATATTATTCGTTCTTGTTTTTGTAAAAAATATATTGTGGATTTAATGAATATGAAAGTAAAACAACTCAAGTGCCAAAGCAAAGTTTTGATAATGAGGGTTCAGTAAAAATTGTAGGAGCTCAGTTTTGTATATTGAGATTTTGTACACTTCCAACAGCCTCAGTTTTTTGCAAAAATATTATTTTATTTGAGTTAAAGGAGAAAAAAAGTTTCATTTGTGAATTTCTCAGATGAACGATTAAATGTCTCAGAATTTATATTATGCGCGAAAATCGAATCATTTCGCGGAAATCAGCGAACTAGATCATTCGTTACTCTAACCTTAATTACACTATTTCTCTTTCTTGGTGTTAATCATTTTTTTTGCATACCTTCAAGAGTTAAACTTTAAAATATGATTCCCTGAAATTCGTTTATTGATGAGTATAAACATTAAAATCTTACGAAATAGACAAAGTTGATGGATATATATATTCAGCCTGTTGCTTTCGTTAGATGAAGTACTCATGAAGAAAACTAATGTGTTTGTTGTGGTTGTTGTTAAGCACAAAGTTACACAGAAGTCTATCCGTGCTCTTCCCACCACGGGTATCGAAACCCGATTTTTAGCGTCGTAAGCCTACAGATTAACTGCAAGAAAAGAGATTTGAAGTGAAGTGATTTGTTTCGGGATGAATGAAAGAGGAGAAACCCTGGTTGAAGAGACAAAAAACATACAAACAAACAGTTTATTATTTATAGCAGAATGATATCGGGAGCAGTGGTTGCTTATAATATCTGGTGGGAAGTCTGAGAAACTTGGTTAAAAATGAGTGAGATAGTGATAAATGTGTTTGTTGAAGTATGACTGTAACAATCTGAAAATATAACTGTCTCTGCTAAACTATTTCTGTATAATTGGTTTAAAAGTTAAGAATAACGTACACACAATCGGTGGCTGGAACATTAATTTTGACATCAATGGCTGAAGCATTAATTTTGAAACAGAAAAAAAAAAGACACAGACATGACTTCCGAAAACATCTTGTCTCTTTCAGAGAAAGAAACGAATCTGTTTGAAAACATTAAAACTGCGCTCACGACTTCACTACCTAGCTAACTAGTCAGAAAACTGGGTAATGTTAAATAGAGCCCATGAAAAAAGCTAGATAATATCCTTCACAAACTATATATGTCAAGGAGAGTAAGTAACACCTAGGGCTGAATTAGCACCTGCCCTACATTTATTCTATAGCTAACCAATCACGAAACTACATAATACTGAATACAGTACAACCAGCTCTTGACAAAAAGCAAATAAAATCCTTCACAGACTATGCCAAAGAAAATAACACCAAGGGCTACTAAATTAGTACATGTCTTAGACCAAAGGTGCTAGGTTCAGATCTAGAACTCGCGAGAAATTTACGATATCATAAATATATACTATAAAAGAATGGCATGTGATATCTGCATACCAAGATACTACAAATGTACTTCTAAATTTGTGCGAAACTTCATAAGCATATCAAGTTTCTAGTTTGAACGATTGTAGCGGGGGTGATAACAACTCGTTCAATGAAAGAAGAGGGGATGTTCTGAAAAATCTTAATGAAGCAAAAAAAGTAATATTTGGACTAATTAGCTAAGAAAACCCTTGCTGAACATTAATTAATATGAACAAATACAAACACTGTTATAACTAGTATACACATGCAAATTCCCCCCCCCCCCTCTCTTCCATGATTTTTAAAGCTATTTTATAATTTAACACCAAAAACAGCATATTGGCGTACAGGAGGCGTCAACCTCTGCTTAAGCATGCAAACCATTGCTTATAAATGCAACTTCTGAATGTCCTGTGATGAAACTGGATCTTTCTCTCACCAAGTCAGTAACCTTACCATTTGAGCTAACTAAGAGGTTAGCCTGATGTTAATAAGGCAACTTTTAACTCAAATTACAAAGCTATTGCATTAGCCGAAAACAGTTGTTAGTTATACCACTATTAGATATTGAAAACAGGACTAAACTTATATGAAAACAATAAAAAACATTATTTTTCTTATCATAATTTGAGTATTGTATTTGAGTTGTGTACTGATAACAATATGCTTGTTTATTTTATCAAGTTTTCAACATAAGCCTGCATTGTACACCTTGATTCCTAACAGTAATCGATTTCACCTGGTACGGACAGACAACGTTTGCTTTCTATTTCCCTAAACGCCCTCCCCACCACCCCCGGGGGAACAGTGGTATGTCTGCGGACTTATACCTTTAGAAACCGGGTTTCGATACCCGTGGTGGGCAGAGCACAGACAGCCCTTTGTGTAGCTTTGTGCTTCATAACACACAAAGACATTTATTTTCATAAACCTTCGTTCCTAACATTAGTCGGTTTCATCTGGTCCAAATTTCGTGCAAATTACCTAGCAGTGAATAGAAATGTGAAATAAGGCATAACACGTCTATCAGTTGTTTGAAAGTAAAACAGCAACCAATCAAACAGACTAACTGAAATTAGAATACGAATAACTGAAATCAAACAAAACGAAAAGGTCAGAAATTAAACATATAAAAACGTTGCCACCTAATACAATTTCTTAACACGTTCTCTTGAGAGAGTTTTAATTCGACGACCTTTGGGTAATTATGTTCTACAAAATGATAAGTCTTGTTTTGTTTTTACATAATTCAATGAGCTTATGAGGTTATCTAACGGAGCGATCGCATACCCAGTAAACGTGTTTTTCTTTTTCTTGTCTAGTTTGACTTGCAACCGGTTGTGCTGGGCACCATTTTCATGATAACGGCAACTATCTACGTTATCACCACGCCAGTGTGGGGATGGCTGTGTGACCGTGGTGTAAGTAGATTTTTAAGGGAGACTGAGAGAATAAAAATGACAAAATAATTTTGGAGGAGAAAAGTGATTGAGGTTTGAATTAAGATTAAGATGTGTTGCTAGTTAGGACTCGGATTAAAATGTGTATCTTAGGATTTTGCTTCTTTTCAACCACGTTCAATCGTTAATGTAACTATAGGAATGTAGGGGAAAAAAGTCACAATTTGAAAATATACGTTTATAATCTATTCAGTTCAAAAAAGTTAAGTTATTGAATTAAATAAGTTTGTCCTCGTCGGGAGCTTCGCAAGACTGTGGCAGTTTCTTTGTGGCGTCGGCTGGAATATTCATTATTGAAGACAATAACATTAATTATTCATCTTATCATGATATTACGTAAGTTGCATTATTAATA